TCAAACAAATCTCCAATCATAGCTACCTGGACAAGAGACAGAGGGCTTGTGGTGTGCTGCCCTTTGGTGTAGTCCTGCCCACTAAGAAGGCCCCACATCCTGCTTTACAAATAATAAAGAAGGAACCAGCTCCACACTTCCTCCTGCTCCATTGTTTGACTTTCTTAACAGCACCTGTCACTACTGTCTGACACACTGCATCTCATTCTCATATTCTGACCCCCCTTTCTCCTCACAAGGATAGAAACATCTTGGGAACAAAGCCTTCACTGCTGTAGCCGATGGCCAGCCCAGTGCCTGACAGTAAAGCTGCACACATGCTCAATGAGGGCGACGCGCCCTCTCCCCCTGCAGCCACGTCTTTCCATGGGCTTAGCGGCTGAGAGCTCAGATGACCGCAGTCTCTATCAGTTCCACAGGCAACGTTCCCAGTGTGGTGGTAAAGGTTCCCCTCCACCTCAAGGTACCATGTTCATCTGCAACTTCTCCCTGACCCCCAGCCAGCTTTCCCTCCCTGACCCAGAGAATTCAGCCTGTTCCTTCATCTAGAATTTCCTACTCTCTGCCTTGTGCTGATATCATGTTCCTGAACATATCGACAAGGGGCTGACAGTAGACACTGGTTGGCTTGCCCTGGGAGGCTTCCTGCTTTCCTCTCTGTCCTTTCCCACAGCTCCTCAGCCAGGGCTGATTTGAAGGGCCTGATATGGCCAAAATACTTTCATGCTGGTCCAAGGTGAGAAAGTATCTATTAGCCAGTTCACAGAGCTGAGAGTATGTAAACTAAACACTGGCTGCTGCTGACACATTGAAGACAGTGGGCTGAAGCTCCTCTTTCATGCAGGAGAAACCACACAGTTTACATGGTGTCGGGGATGGAACCCAAGGCCTTGTGCATGTTGGGCAAACTGTCCACCAGCTGAGCTGCATCCCCAGCTCTCCACGGCAGTTTCTGACACACACGATTCGACTCAGGTCTGCTCAAACCCTCGACAGTCTGTTCCTGAGGGCCTGTGCCTGTCGGTCTCAACGGCATGATGGCTGAGGCAGGATAGGAACCATTGCCTCTCCAGGCAAGGTGGGAGGAAAGGTCTTGTTATATCTACACAGGTTCTATCAACCAGCCTCAGAAAGTCTCTAGGCATGAAACAAAAGCTGCCGGTCAAGAAGCATCTACTGGCTGGGTGGTGGTGGCGCACCACCTCAGCACCTTTAATCTCAGCACTTGGGAGGCAGAGGCAGGCAGATTTCTGAGTTCGAGGCCAGCCTGGTCTACAGAGCGAGTTCCAGGACAGCCAGGACTAAACAGAAACCCTGTCTGGAAAATTAAAAAAAAAAAAAAAAAAAAGAAGAAGAAGCATGAAAAAGCTTGGGCTCCAAAAGACCACGACAAAACATCCACACACTCAACAGTCTGCTTATCTGTTTATCCTGGGACTTTCTCTGCCCCCACACTTCTGCCAAGTTCTTGATGGGGGGAAATCAGGACAGTGCGTACCTGTGTTCGAGGATAGCTTGGGCTATAGTGAGATCCTGTCTTAAAAAAAACAGACAATTAGGGGTAAAAAGCTGTGTGTCAACTCAACCTCCAGCCTGTAGCCTCCTCTTGTCTCTAGTAAGACCTATGTACAGGCTGCTGTTCTCAGAGCATGGAGAACAAGCACTGTGGGTTTGTAGGAATAGCAGGTACAGAAAGGGTGACTACTGCTAGACCCTGATAAATAAGGATTCTAATACAGAACCCTTCCATTAGCCCACCTCTGCTGAAGGCCATGAAAAGGAGGACTGGTTCCCCAGTGGGTTGTTGTTGTTGTTTAATATATCTCAAATGCTGTCTTTCTTCTGAAACCCAAAGAGGTCTTGTCCTAATAAACATGACAGGAGTGGCCAAGGGAGAACACGGAAGGAAGGCCACAGCACATCCCTTACACCTTCAGGAGATCCTGGGTACTCACTCTATAAAAGACTCAAACCCTAGCAACAGGGCTGGAGAAGTATCCATAGCTCAACTCTACCCCCACTAAGAGGAGAGAAAAATCCACTTTTCTCAGCTCAAAGGATGGTTCCCAGACCTCAGCTTCTTACTCCTGTCTTCCTGGAAGTCAGGGACTGTGGGATCCAGGTCACTCGTGTGTGCAGTGCCGCCAGTGACAAAGAATTAGGCTGGTGTTCGGGTAAACTCTGGTACCCACCTTGAGTTCTGAAGCAGGTCCCACTTCTAGCCCCTTTGCCACCCAGAAGACTCGGGGCTTACTGGGGTGGTAATGTGGAGAGGCTACTGTTAATAGCCAGGGAACAGAACACAAAGCCTTCCTGGGTTTGGCCAAGATTAGGGAACGACTGCCCTAAGAAACAGAAAAAAATGAAACAAAGGAAACCCACGGTACTACCAAGTCTTTGAGGCACCAGGCCTTTTGTTCCTGAGGTGATGGTGGTTAAAGGAGGCCAGACGTGGCTGCCATGGTGAAAAGGCCACTGCAGGAAGGAGCCACAGCCACACCTTGGGGGCCTGAGGGCTAAGCCTGGAGTAAGGCGTGTGTGTTGGCGGGGGGGGGGGGGGGGGGGGG